CATGATCCACTGACTGGAAGAGCAACCAGAGATCCCGCGGGGCGCGGAGCTGATGCAAAGCTCCCCATTCCCACTGCTCTCCGCCCATCCCTTCTCCCCTCCGGGAGGCCCCACAGCAGATGCAAGAATCTCCCGATCTTGTTTCTTGCTAGAGGTTTTGTGAACTACGTTTGCTGTGCCTTTGTGTCATACGGTGGGGTGCCTCACTAGCAGCTCAGAAATGAAAACCGTAGCAAATGGCTTCTGAACCGGAACCTCCTAATTTCCTTAGAAGGTGTGTGTGGGCCAAGGAAACCTAGAATGAGTGGTCATCCCCTCAGGGGTGAGGGAGATGGAGCCCCAGGGCACTCTCTTCCCGGGGACCCCCAAGCAAGAGTCTCCGGTGGGCCTCTGGAGAGAGCAGTAGATCAGGGCAGATCAGGTCCCATTGTAGTTGGTTTCTGATTGGAAACCTTTAAAAACACCAGCAGAAAAGACCTGTTAGAAAGAGCAGCCTGAGGTAGAACTGTGTGGTGAGTCTGTATTCAGTTCCTATTGTTGTGCAACAAATTACCACAAACTTAACAGCTTAGAACAACACACATTTATTATCTCGTAGTTTCCACGTGTCAGGAGTCTGGGTATGGGTTAGCTGGGTCTTCTGCTCCGGGGCTCACCAGGCTGCCATGAAGATGTCCCGCCAGGGCCCCAGTCTTATCTGAGGTTCAAAGGCCTTTTCCAACTCACATAGTTATTGGCAGAACCCATTTCCTTGCCGTTTGTAGAACTCAGGGTGAGTAGCTTCCTCAAGGCTGGCAAGAGTGTCTCTCTTCCTTCTTCTGTCTCAACCTCTGACCTTCTTTTTAGGGGCTCACTTGATTAGGTCAGGCCCACCCAGGATAATCTCCCTTTTTATTAACTTAAGTCAGTTGATTAGGAACTTTAATTACATCTTCAAAATCCCTTTACCTCTGCCAATACAACAATGTAATCGCAGAAGTAACATCCCATCACCTTTGCCATGTGCTGCTGGTTAGAAGCAAATTACAGGGCCCACTCACATTCAAGGGGAGGGGAATGTACAAGACATGGGTCATTGGGGGTCATCTCAAAATTCTGCCTACCACAGAGTCTGAGTGATTCTAGAGAAAACAGCCCTGCCCTGAGGGTTGCCTGGAGTGGATGATAATCTTATGAGACCAGAACTCTCAGTTGAAGGATTCACAAGTGTTTCTCACTGTAGTGGGATATGTCCGCTGGAACCTCAGAATGTGGCCTTATTTGGAATAAGGGTCTGCAGATATAATTAAGGGAAGGATCTTGAGATGAGATCATCTCGGATTAGGACAGGCCCCAAATCCAATGGCATGTGTCCTTAAAGGAGATAGAGAAGGAGAAGACACATGGGGACACAGGGAGAAAGTGAAGACAGGGGTAGAGACTGGAGGAATACGTCTATAAGCCCAGGAGCGCTGAGAAGGGCTGGAGCCGCCAGGGCTAGGACAGAGCCATGGAACAGCCTCTCCCTCAGAGCCTCAGGAGGGAGCCAGCCCTGCCAATGCCTTGATTTCAGACTTCTGCCTCCAGAACTTTGAGAGAATACATTTCTGTCATTTTAAGCCACGAAGGTTGTAAGAATTTGTTGTGGCAGCCTTGGGAAACTAACACACTCACTGATCGTTGTGCCCACACAAACCAGTGTCAGAGATGGAGTTGGTGGTCTCAGGGGCAACACGAACTCAGACTCTACAGAGATGCCAGTTCCCAGAGATCAGAGGTGCCCTGAGCCGTACCGGAGCAAGGCAGCTTCATAGCCCAACCAACATTCATCACAGCATGGAGGCAGATGCCCATCCATTAATATCTTCTTTATCATCCCTTCATTGATGTATTTGTTTGATTCAGCTGCTGTTTAAAAAAAAAAAAGGCTAAAATAACTGTGGCTTAAAGATAGAAGTTTATTTCTCTTTCACATAAGCGTCTTCAGCATAAGCAGCCCAGGGCTGAAATGGCGCCTCCACACTGTCGGCCAGCCAGCCTCCTGCTGTCTGGTTCTTCCGCCATCTGCAACACATGGTTGCCATCTGATGACCTAAGGTGGCTGCGTCAGTTCTTACCATCACGCCTGCATTCCAGCCAGTAGGAAGGGGAGAAGTGGACATGGAGGGTCTGCCCTTTCCCTTTGATGGCAGACCTCGAAGCTGCACACTTCAATTGGCTAGAACCCAGTCACACAGTCACACCTAGCTACAAGAGAGGCTGCTGTATGTCTTTAGCAAGGCCATGTGCCCAGCTAAAACTTACAGATTCTATTACTAAAAGGAGAAGGGAAGTATGGAGGACGGATGCAACTTCTGCCTACAGGAGACAACGGCCTACTGAATTAAGTTGGGCCCTGGTCCAATTACTGGTGTCCTTATAAGAAGATGGAAATTTGGACACATGGGGGAGAAGGCCATGGGAAGATGGAGGCAGAAGTTTGAGTGATGCAGCTACAAGCCAAGCAACGCCCAGGATTACCAGCAACCACCAGAAGCTACCAGAGGCAAAGAGGGATTCCTCCCCTAGAGCTCACGCATGGCAAGAGCAAGCATGATCTTGCCAACGCCTTGATTTTGGACTTCCAGCCTCTAGAAGTGTGAGAGAATGAGTTTCTGTTTGTGGTAATTTGTTACGGCAGCTGTAGCAACTACTACACCATCTCTTTCTTCTGATTCCTTAGGGCCCCATTCTCATGAACCTCTACCATAACGTACCATACAGCCCTTACATCTAGAAGTACCCTCAGTCCTAAACCTTCTGTCCATCATTCAAATTTAGCTCATTATAAATGCTGCTTGGGCAATGACAGGGTGATCCAAACCAGTACTGAAATGTCAGGCACAGACCAGACCAGGGTCTAAATGTGAAAACAGAGCCAGAGGGGGAGATGGACAGTGACATAGATATGAAACCAGGGGAATTAGTCTGAGGTGGGTATGAACTTGCAGAAGGAAGACCAGACAGGGCTTGCCCTCCATGACCAAAGACAAGTGGGTTCAAGATCCAGCCTGTCGATAGAAGCAGGGCTACCCAAGGATCAAAACCAGAAGACCTGGACTTGTCCTAGCTGCACACTCTAACGACGCCACTTACTGGAGGAGACCTTTCAATTTCCAAACCCGTTTTACATACAATCTCTTATTTGTTCTTCAAACCCTGTCTGCATGAGCTGAGTAGAGCGATAATAGAATCTCCATTTGTTTCACAGACAAACAATTTATCAGAGATGCGACGTAACTTGCTCAATGTCACGTAACTGATTACTAGCAGTGTGTGTAGAGAAAAGAAAACAAAATTTGGGGTCTGGTAGACTGAGTTAGAATCAACACAAGCAACACATATTTGAATTGTACAAGGCTCTTATTTTTTACTTGCTGTCACTACAACAAAATATTTGCTAATAGTCATATTTATTGGCGCTCAATAAATGGTCATTTCCTTCCTTTCTCCCTTTCTTATTGTTTTTCCAGCTCTGAATTCTGTGATCCTTATACTACCAACCATAGTGTTGCTTTTCACTTACTAAAGTAATCTTGGCTACTCACAAGTCACCTCTCTAGAAGTCAGTTTCTTCATCTATCTTATCAAAGGATTAGACTGAATCATTTCTAGGGTCTCTTTCAGCTCCCATAGTCCGTGGCCTTATGAAAACTGAAGTTTTCGCAGCCGGTCTAGTCAACAGACCAACAGGTCTACAACTGTTGTACCTCACATCGCCATCAGGGGGCGCCAAGCACCATTTATGCCTTGCGTGGAGCAAACGCTGAAGCTGCCAAACTGTCTAGGACTTCACGGGGCTTTCTGAGAGCCAGCTATCCTGGTCACCTTCATTCCCCTTCTAAAAGTGAGAGAGGAGAGAAAAGTTTATTCTCCATTTACTTTATAGACGAGGAAACTAAGGAAAGCATTTCGATCTTCCTCAATCTCATAAGAGGACGAGCTATGAAAGATCAGATGGCCGTCTGGAGTTTCTGCTAATTACACTGAGCTACGCATGATGCTGCCCCCTAATTGGCCTGAGGCAGACTATCCAGGGCTTTCTGCATGGGGGTGGGGGAGAGTATTAGCAGTACTCCTCATTGCAGGCTCCCACTTCTCCTCTGGACAGACACACAAACACGGACATGCTCCCCCAAGAGGCCTGAGGGGAGCCTGGATCTTTGGCTTTTAGGATAGAACATAAAGGAATACCATTTCCATGGCCTTCACCTGTGCCCCCCGGAAGAGAGGGAGAAGCTGCTTCTACTCTACGAGGGTTCCAGAATGAAGCTGGTATGGAGTTCTAGCCCCATGACTGCCATGAGGACCACAGCCTGCACTTACCACCATTCCCCAGAAGAATCTACCATGGGGAGGGTCCAAAGAAAGTCTGTTATCGACCTCCTCCTTGTCCTAATTCTGCCTCCTCCCTAGCAGGTCCACCTGATGCAGAAGGTAAGCCACCTCTGGAATACTCAGTCACTCCTCATTTTCTCTCCTCCAACCCAGCCCCCTTCTCCCTGCCATTTCTGCCCCATGCCCAGCTCCTGCTAACAGACTCTGGCAAGGCCAGGGGTCCCACAGGCTCTTTTGTTCTCATTGGTCTGTAAGTCTTCACATCTCTAGGTTCAGAGGATGGTTGTTTGTCTTCCAGAGTTCAAGCGCTCAGGCCTCGTGCTAGCAAAAGCAGCCTGCTCCCCATCCAAGGATGTAAATCTCCCTCAGCCTGACACCTGGCCACAAGTTGCTGGAGAAACGACCAGAGTGGCTGCCTCTCCATCTGTCAGATGCACCGATGACAATTTGCAGATGGAGTCCACAGCCACAGTGCAAGTCTAAACACTCCGAAGGAGTCTGACAGCTGACACATGGGAGTGTGTCGAGCAGTATGAGCTCCTGGATAATGTTCAAGGACAATTCTACAAGCCAGTCCCCCTGCCCCCCCGAAAAATCATCCTTCTCTCCTGCCTAGGACTGACTAGGCAACTTTCCTCAGGGATGTTGGGAAAATATCCAGAGATAGGGAGAGGAGGCCCTCATACCCAGGCGAAAGCAAGACTTCCTTCTCCACTAAGGGTTCAAAAGTTGACTCCTTGCCGAGAAACCTTCCGCACCTCAGACACTAGAGATCTCACACTGCTCTGGACTGGAAAGGAGAAAGCCATCTTTGGTATGCAAACATCCTAAGAAATAAAACCTGGGCTCCTGGAGAAAAGAGTGCAGTGTAGGCCAGGTCCAATTCACAGGGAACACCCATATGTGGAAATCCACCGAGCTTATCCTCAGGGCAGAACGCAGTTTTATAACTCTGGAGCCCCTGAACCTAGCCAATGCATTGTATACTGCTGTCACACCGTACATTAAACTTTTGTGATTTACTGGCTCTCCTGTAAATCAGCCTGGACAATGCTCGCGGCTCATGGAGTTTAAATAAGAACTCGCAAAATGACCCAGTGATTTCCATAGAAATTTTCTTTCCATAGGAAACTGCCTGATAAGTTTCATAAAAATTGGAATATGGAAAAAAACGATCAACTGGCTCAAACTTGTAACTCCAGTTTTACTTCAAGAGGATAATATAGATTTATGAAGCCCAGGAAAGAAAGTGGGACCGTAGAGGCTATGGAAAGGATGGGAAACGTCAGAATATATTTATAACCCAAGACATTTGCCCAACACAAACAATGGTCTGTGCCTCCAGACACACACGCGTACAGCAATGAGCAAAACTGGTTCCTGATGGTAACAGGATCTTACAAATCCACCCCTGGCTTATAGCATGGGAGCTGACATACGCTCTCCGTGCCCTGATCTTGGCCACAGCAAACCCAATCCTCCCGCGGGGGCTCTGCTTAAATCCTACGGGTAGCATGTCTTTGCAACTGGGTTCCAGAAGTTTTGGAAAGGGTGGGGAGGCAGGAGTGTGAAATACTCAAGCTCCCTCCCCTTCGCACAAACAGACTTTTCATTTTTTGTTTCAAGAGGATTAGGAAGAAAGGGACAAGGATTAGTCCTAATTTATTGCCTCTGTCAAAAGCCAGGTCTATGAAGGGAGTAAGTGGATTATGAAAAGAAAACAAATGGAGAGAAAAGAGGGCAATGGGTGAACTGCATTCAGTATTTTTATTAATTTGATTTTAAAAGGAAAAGAAGGGATCCGTTCTAACGGTTCACCTTCCTATGAACCCCAGAGGCCCCCGAACCCTGAAGAAGTCCTTCTGCCACTGCTGTGAGGTAGATCAGAGCTGTTCTGCGCGTAAAGTGAGGGAGGCCGGTGCTTAGAGAGCCTAAGTGAGGGAGCCAGGGACAAAACCCCAAACCTTGACTTTCTCTAGCTTTCTGCTCTCAGCCTGGGCCGCCAAGCCCAGAGAGCATCCGGGGTTCATCAGGTCTGGGCGACGGAAGGAATGGGACGAGGGGTGCTCTCTTCACCCTAAGCACACAGCACACCAGTGAGCAAAGTGATGGGTGCCCCACCGAAGCAAGCCGGGCTGCTCTCGGGGGCAGCTGAGCACAGCCAGATCCTCAGATGCTCCGCTGCTGAGGTAGTGGTGAAGTTCAGGGGTGGGGTTTAGAAAACTTCTCCCAGAAAGAGAGAGAGAGGGGATGGTGAAAACCCACTTGGGAAGGACTCCCCCACCCCATCCCATGGCCCAGTCATCAGGTTCTGGAGGGCAGAGTTTTCCAGCTGGGAAACGCCACAGGGCTCATTCTGAACAGAGGCCAGAGGCTTTCCGAAGGTTCTGGATCAATGGAGTGTTGTTTCTTGTCCTTCAAGGTCTAAGAAATTCCCCAGGAAGCCCTGAAAAACGGAGATAACATATCTTGGGGTGAGGGGGCACAGGGTGGGAACAGGGGCACTGGAGGGCAGGGGTGGAGGTCAGGGACCCTGAAAAGCATAAGTAATTACACAAAAGTATTCGGGCTCCACCCAGCCAAAAAAAAAAAACCCACTCCCAACCGCAACAGCTCTGTTCCTGCCGGAGAAGCACGGCCGCTCGCAGTTCCTCGCTCCCGTTTTCCTTCGTACCAGAACGGATTCTCACCTTTACAACTATCAAACCCTTCAAAGAACCCAGAGCCGAGGCCGAGGGCTCGGGAGGGCCTCTAGGCTTGTGGGCAAGTCAAAACCAGGCCAAGGGGCGGCAAGAAATCCGGGCGGCCAAAGCACTGGGCTCAAAAACCAAAACTCGCGCTCACCAGCCGGGCGGGCTGGGCAGGGGCACAGCAGCCATTGCCGCCGCCTCTTTCGCTTCCACCTGGGGCAGAGCGGGTCGGATGCGGGCAAGGAAAGGGCCGTGGGTCCCATTTTGCTTCTTTCCTTCGCGGCCCCGCTTCTCCCAGTGCAGAAACTCTCCCCAGCCCCATCTTCTCCCACCGAACCCCAAGCTCAAAAACTTGACACAGGAGATGCCGAATGCTTCCTGACCCCGAGCGCCGGCTCCTTCGCCTCGGTTACCTACCCGTCAAGCGGCGGCGCTGCCCGGACTCCGCAGGGCTGGTCAGGGCTGCAGGGGCGCCGGAGGGGTCGCGGGGCCGGAGGCGGCGGCGAGGTGCTCCTCGGGCGGGCAGCGGCCGCAGCGGCACAGCAGGCGGCGGAAGGCGCTGCGGAAGTCCGGGCTGCGGCAATAGATGAGCGGGTTGAAGGCAGAGTTGGCATAGCCTAGCCAGTTAAGGGCGAGGAAGGCCGGGTTGGGAACTAGGGAGGGGCCCCCGAGGGCGCGCACCACGTTGGCCACAAAGAAGGGCAGCCAGCAGAGAGTGAAGGTGCCCATGATGAGACCCAGGGTGCGCAGGGCCCGGTGTTCCCGGAGAGGCAGAAGGCGCGCGGGCCGCCGGCCGTAGAAGGGCACCCCCGCGGGCGCGGCGCACGGCCCCGCCGGGACGAGGGACAGAGAGCGAGACGGAGCCGGCGGAGACTCCTCTGGCGGGAAGCGGCCCAGCTCCCGGCGCAGCAAGCGCAGCTGGCGCGTAGCCACGACGAAAACGCGCGCGTAGACGAAGAGCATCACAAGAAGCGGAAGGTAGAAGGAGACGGAGGAGGAGAGCAGCGCGTAGGGGATGTTGGAGGCGAAGGCGCAGCAGCGCGGATTGGAGTGGCAACGCTGCGCCTCGGCGTCGGCCCCCACGCGCCACCACTTGCTCATGATGGGCGCAAACGACACCGCGGCGGACACGACCCACACCAGGACCACGGCTGCCCGGGCGCGGCGTTTGGTGACCAGTGAGCCGTAGCGCAGCGGGTTGGTCACGGCCAGGTAGCGGTCCACCGCCAAGGCGCACAGGGTTTCGATGCTGGCCGTCACGCACAGCACGTCCACCGAAGTCCACAGCTCGCAACCAGTGGCGCCCAGGGGCCAGTGGCCGGTCAGCGCCAAGGTGGCCCCCGGCGGCACTACCAGGAGTCCTACAACCAGGTCGGCCGCGGCCAGCGAAGTCACGAACACGTTGGTCATGGTCTGGAGTCTCGGCGTCCGGGCGATGGCCACGATTACCAGCAGGTTGCCTCCCACAGTGGCCAGCACCAACAGCGCCCCCGCCAGTGCCGCCGCCCCCGGCATCCCTGGCAGCCCACTGGTGTTGGCGGTATTGGGCACCAGGGTGGGGGCACCCGGCCACGAGGCCAGAGAGCTGTTTCCGTGAGGCCACGGAGCCATTCCCACGTCGCGCGTGGGCCGGGAGAGAAAGAGGGAAGGGGGTCTCCCAGCTCACCCGGCTCAGGGGAGGAGGTAGTGGGGCGTGGGAGCGATTCCCCGGGCCTGGGCCATCTTCTCGAGTTGACCGGGCGCGGCGAGAACGCTAAGCCTCCCCCCCACCCTCTGGGTGCCACCGCTTGGGGTGGGGGGGAGGAGTGACTGCCCTTAAAGGGGCAGCGGCCGATAGTCTCGCCTTGGCGTCAAAAGGGGGATTGGAGCATGGGGAGGGAAGTGAGACGAATGTCTGACTTTTCCTTTAGCCAAATCTGGAGTAACGGACTCCCTAACTTCTCAGCCACAATGTGCCCCCTCCTGCTGTGACCAGCTCCACACTCAGCACAGCGCTCGGTTGGCACTGCTTTCCTGTGACTCTGCACCATGTTCCATGGGAGGTCCAGCAGCAACGCTAGGGGAAGGGTAATGGAAGACCTGCACCCCTTACCTGTCAGAGAAAAAGGCACCCCTCCCAAGCAAAACGACCCTCCTGGCCCCTACTGCTTGAGCGTGGCCCCTAAGATACTGTAGGTTAAGTAACAGAGGGCAGCCAGTCTCCTCTCTTCTCCCAAGACCTCATTCCAATGACATTTGTCCACTTGCCCTTCTTCTGTTTCACTTACCCTCCCTGCCCCTCCAGTTTTCTGATCTTTTTTAAATTTTCTTTTCAGCTACTAGAGAAATTTCCCATTTTCAGGAGTCTTTATCATTACCTGCTTATTTGAATTTCAATTTGGCTCATGTAGCCCGGGATGCTGAGCATTTCAATTTCTCCATCTTCCCCACTTCATATTGTCCCTTCCACACACCTTTCCACCTAGAAAATTTCTAGATAGGACCCTTCTCTTAAAATTCTTCTGTTGTAAAGACATATTAGAAATGAATGAAATGGGGGTGGCCTCGTGGCATAGTAGTTAAGTTCTCGCACTCTGCTTTGTCGGCTGGGGTTCGCTGGTTCAGATCCCGGGTGCAGACCTACACGCTGTTCATCAAGCCATGCTGTGGCAGGCGTCCCATATATAAAGGAGAGGAAGAGGGGCATGGATGTTAGCTCAGGGCCAGTCTTCCTCAAAAAATTAAAAAAAAAAAAAAATGAATGAACGCGTTTGAGGTTGAGGCCCGTCCACCATCTCCTCCAGCTATCCACAAATATCCCATCACCCTCCCAATGGTACAATGTTCTCTCTACTTCCTCGAAGATTTCATTCATGAACTTTTAAAAATGAAAAGACATTGAGTTGGGGAATTTGCATGTCGCATCTTCAAGTCCGTGGGATGATAGGCCTGGTATTTTCACGCCTCATGAAGTCTCTCACTCAGTCCCATCAGAAGTTCCCTTCACCTGAAGAAGCCCAGAGCCACCTTACCCTGCCCTCGCCCAGACTTGAGGCTGGTGCTGTCAGCCAAGCTCTCCCAGTCTCTCAGCCAGTTCCTCTCGAATTGGTGGGGGGGGGGGGGGGGGTGCGGTGAGACTGGAAAATAAGCCCCTGGGTTCACGTTGAGGGTCAGGAAGATATGATACCTTTATTGAGTCTTATCAGAACCTGATCCTTGAGCTGCCTTGCTTCCTCCCTTGAAACAATGGGACAAAAGAGGAAAAAATTATCATGGAAAATGCCTCCAGGGCCATGCCCCAGCACATCTCTTTTGAACAGCTCTATATTTCAAAAGAACGCTATATAGTCGCTGGTCTAAGCAATCCCTCTGGGAGGCTGATCCAGGGGTTGGGAGTTAGAATGACTGGAGGGGAAGTGAGGACCTAAAATTATCCCTGAGGAGAAAGAACCAGTTTCATCTCCCAGGGACCCAGCAGCTCACTCATGAGCAGTTTGTCAGTGGCTCCCAACTGAATGCCTTCCATGCCCATGCAGTATCCCAAGCAGGCCTTTGGATCCACGGAAATGTCTAGTGGGTGGAGGTGAAGAGGCCTGGCCTTTCCCCTCACCCCTCATCATGCTGAGTGGTGCAGGCCCCACTTGGCCTTGATCTTGGCTGCAGCCTCTTGCTGATCATCATGGCTGTCACTCTCAAGCTGGGTTTTGTAACACCCCAGAGTGTTGCCATTATCTCAAAGGAATGTCATAAGATTCTGCAAGAGTAATCTCTGAAACAAATATATGCCATTCAGCAATTTTTTTCCAGGACATCAGAATCAGTGGGGGAAGGGAAATGGGTACCAGAGAGTCAAGCAACTTCAAAGGATGTCGTTGCTTTAAGGGGTGACCTCACTACTCTGAGGAAGTGTGTAAAAATGTTTACATTTTCAAAAAGACAAGATTTCCCAAACCACACGAGTTTGGAAAATGGTTAGGCCAATAACCAAAGGAGACTGTGAGCAGAGGAAGTCCAGGCCCTGTTAGTGAAGGCTTTTATGAGCCGCGAGCAGAGCTCGAGAGGCACCTGCTGCGCTTGCTCCCTGCGCGGGCCCCTCCCTCCTCTCCTGCTCAGTCTGGCCTCCCCTCCCAAGGGCGGGCAGGGAGAACGGCTCCTTCTTTTGCCACTTTGGTCTGTGGGATTATTCTCTTTTTTGCATACTTTTGTGTTTTTTAGTTTAATCTTTTGAGTAATGCATTCACATTACTCAACCATCAAAATATACAAAACACGTGTAGTAGAAAGTTGCCTTCATCCCATTCTTCAACTCCCCAAAGTAACCTCCATTAGTCTCTTGTTTTTCCTCCAGTAATATTTTATATATAAAAAAGTCAATGCAAATATATGTTTTTGTCCTTTGTTTTCTACACAAATAGTAGTAAAATATACTCACTGTTCTGCACGTTGCTTATTTTAACTTCACAATACGTATCTGTGATCCTTCCATACCAAAGCACAAAAGCGTCCCATTTTTTAGTATTCCATTGTATGGATATACCATAATCTATGAAACCAGTTGGCCACTAATGGACATCTAATTTATTTCCAAACCTCACTAATACATGTGGCAATAAATAACTTGCACACGTGTCATTTCACATGTATCTAAGTATATGTATAGAATAAGTTACTACAAATAGAATCGCTTTATCATAAGGCATATACATTTGCAAATTTTAAACATATTGCCAAATTGCCCTCCCCAGACGATGTGCCCATTTACTCTCTTGCCATCATTTTTGATGACCAGCCAGGGGTTGGAGGCAAGTGACCTGCTGCTCTGGGAAGTTGTCCTAATGACTGGCCCCAGGGGAACCAGTGCTGCCTGGTCTGTAGAGGTCATCCAACTCTGGATAGAAGCATATGTTGCCCCAAGAGCATTACTCTGGCCCTGGGCCCCCATGTGACCTTTATTCTTGACCCTTGGAAGCAGGTGGTGAATGTGGGCCTCTGAATCAACTGAGTTCAGGCCCCCAGACTGCTGTTTGTGTGGTGGGGGCTCCCAAGATGCAAGTTGTCCTCTTGTGTCAGAGGGCACAGCAGTCTGTGATGGTCTGTGCCTCAGAATATGTGGTCAGAAGAACCAGCAGAGGCAGCGACTGCCTGGTGTGCAGAAGTTCTAATTCCAGGGGAGTCGTAGCTTGTGGTCGGTCCTCTGCACATCACACCTGGGTGCATGTAGGTGTGTGTCTGTGTGTGTGTTTATGCGACAGGGTAGGAAGGCGCTCAGGGGAGTTCAGGTGTCTGAGGCTTGTACCTCACCCAAGACTACATGCGTGAGAGGTGTTACAGTTTACAGTTCATAATCTTTCCCTCTTGCTTTAAAGTTCTTGGAAGGGAGCAAAACTTAGGTGGAAGTTTTCCCCTCTCTATACCCTGACTGTCTTCTCCAGAGCCTTCTGTGATCATCCATTCCATTTTTGAAATGTCATGCGTATGTGTGGCCTCTGAACATCTGGTTTGGTGTTTGCTGTTTCTCCTTTTGTCACAATTAGCCAGAGGGATAAGATAGTGGTAGCATAGAATAAGAGCTAAAAGGGGTCTTAAAGATCAAATCCAACACCAACATTTTACTGAATTAAAAAACTGAGGCCCAGAGAGGAATCTGAGGCTTGGCCATGATCACACAGTAAAGGCCCGTTCCTAACACGTGCATGGGCACCCCAGAAGCTGGCTGCCTTTCCAGAGCACCTCTCCTCATTCCCTGCCAGGCTGTGGCCAGTGCCACCTTCCAGTCTGTCCTGTGGGGGGCCCCAGAATGGACCACCGCCCCACCCCCAGAACTGAAAAGGAGCCCCCGACCTAAGGCTTTGCCTGTCTTCTCTACCACAGCCTGGCCAACTGTCTACACATCTGATGTTTCCCAAAGAAAGGAGCTTTAAGGGGAGGCAGAGAAGGGGCCTCCATTCTTGGGAAATAAAAAGTCCTCTGGTGCCTACGGACTGGCCGAGGACAAGAACCTTATCCGGGCAAAGAATGGAGAACAGTTAGGGTTTTATAGCAGTGCCTTTTCTCTTAGTGCGCAGTTATCAATGGAAGAAGGGACCAGGAAATGTTTCTTTCACTCCTGAAGTAGGAAGAGAAATCCTTGTTCTAGGCTCTTTGAATGATCATTAAAATCCTTGACTATTGGAGAAGCTGCTCCCCAGAGGCTCGGAAAGGTCACACACCCCACCCAGAGCCCAGACAAGAATTTCTTGGGGTTCAGGAAGTCACCTTTTCCCAGGGAGGTCGGGGAGAGATCAAGCCAGTGGGGGAAGGAGAGAGGAAGAGAATGTGCCCACCAACCCACAGATAAGTCTCTCTGGTTGCCTTCCGTGTCCCCCCTGGAGACTGCTTTGGGTGATATCCTTGCAACCCCTCCCTTTTATTGGGAGAAGGAGGCAGCACGGAAGAGGCAGATCCGCCATTGGATCTGTGGTCTCCTCCCCCACTCTTCCCTGGGAGGAAAGCTCAAGCAAGGCTGGAGCCTACCTGGCTCAAAAAGAGGCTGGTACTCAAGCTAAGCATGCTCGGGTCCCTTCTCTCACAGGAACTCACACTTGCCCCGGGGAAGCAGGTTCTGAGGGAAGGGTGGTTGGTGCTTGGAAAGGAAGAGAGCAAAACAATGAGGACAGTTTCTCCTCCAACGGGGAAGCCAATGCTTAGCATGATTAGATGGGAGCAAGGAGCTGTTCTGCCTGGGAAGACGAAGGAAGTCAAGCCCCACTGTCTCTTTTGGGTGGCCAAAAGCCCATCAGGATAGAATCAAGTCTGGGAGTGGTTAAGATCCAGATGCCGGCAGAGAGGCTGTGGCAGGGGGAAAGGGAAGTGTTTCCTGTTTTTGGAGAAGTCATGGATGGGAAAAATGCCTTTTTTTAATCCCAAGAGAAGGCAAGGCATTTTGCTTCTGGGCGGGATGGGACTGTCTTCCCCTTTCATGATCAACGGGAAACATGAGGAGGAGGAGGAGACATCCTCAGGGCTGCCATTCAGCCCGCCATCACAGGAGGACCTTTTTGGTGGTGGTGTGGCACCCTGGGGCTTCCAGCCTTGCGGTCACCACCCAGCACACTTTTCTCTGTGCCAGTGCCCACACTGGGCATGCTGATAGAGAGATGACTAGGACCCTGCGAGTGAGGGGCTCCCAGCCCCACAGAGGGAGCTGGGTTTCACTTTGTTCTCCCAAAGCAGTCCTGCCAGTGCTGTAGCAGGCAGCTTCGGACAGAGACACTGGGTAGGGTGGCTATCTCACGATGGAGAAGGGAAAGAAAGCAAGGAAGGGCATTTCTTGGGGACACCAAGGTGACATCTTTGATGAGAGCCTGCTGTACCTTTTACCCAGCTCCCATGAGCAGATAGGCCCTTTCCCACCAGTAGTAAGATAGTCACAATTTTATCCTCTGTCCTCCCAATCCTGGGTCACACATCCCGCCTTTCTCAGGCCTGAGTTTGTTCCCAGCAATCCTGGGGTGCTGTGAAAATGTTGCTTCACGGGTGCTCTGCAAGATACTGGCAGCAAAAGGAGGCTGGGATGATCATGTCTCTTATACAAATCATGCTGTC